TTATTCAACTTCTTTTTAGATGATTTAGTTTTACTAGTTACTAATGAATTATTCCAATATTAAAAAATGATTATATGTGTTGAAGATTATAGGTGTCCTATATTATGGTCCCGCATGGCGTGTGGAAAAGTTAAATGGGGGGTTGGACTCTTATCATCTTATGCCCGCAGTAAAAGTCAAATATATTTAAACTAGAGGAAGCACTTGGCACTTTGACCATCTTCGATGTTAAAAGTTATTTTTGGATATCAAATTTATATTTTAATAGGTATTGTATTTTGAAAAATTCTATAAAAAAAGGTGTGATTGTAAATTAATTACATTAGTTTCCTTTCATATATTTCCCTAAACATGATTACTATCATTTCTTTTCTTTTCTTTTATTAATCAACCAAATACAACAAGTAATTAACACTATCATCTCTTTATTATTATTATTATTATTATTATTATTATTTTTTAACTAACTAATATTATCCTTTCTTTTCTTTTCCCCTATACCAAACATATCCCAAGTGTTTAGCGGTCGAGTCATGCTGGTTGAAGCCTTGGCAAAAAGATTTCTTTCCTTTCTTACTTTCTTTTTTGTTTTTCAAACAAATATTTTGACTTTCTTATATATTATATCCTCCTTAAAAAGCCTCAATCAATAAAGTGATTTAATAGTGGGCCAAAAACTCACTTTTTTTTTTCCGTTCTCTACGAGCCCTAATATTAAAAAATAGGAGATTTATTAATAAAAAAATTATCCAATTTGATTTAATGATTTTAATTTTTTAACAGATGAAAACTCTAGGCAATTTTTTTTATTATATGTCATAGTGTCTCGTGTATTTAAAAGATTTCAAAAGAATTAGATTGAGTGTTTTGTTTTGGAAGTTGTTTAATTCAAAAAATAGCACAAGCCAATTAGGGAATTAGAGATTGCAAAAATTTTAATGCTACGCGAGTGGCTTAGTGGTACCAGGTTTTTACTTCCCTAAGGAAGGTTAAGGGTGGAGGCATATATGTGTGAATACTAAGGAAAAAGAAAAAAAACTTAATGATATGTTTAAAATTCACGAAACAACTTTTGAGCATGTTACTAACAAACACATAGGTAGATTATATTAAAAGGCCACTTTATTAATTTTTCATGTCTAAGGCCTCTAATTATATTGAGCTGCCCCTATTCCAGGTCACCAAATGTCGAGAGTCTAACATTTGAGTCATCAAACCCTAGCATCACACCAGGTTGCCAAGCAGACCCTCGAGTAATCAAATCCTGGCATTGCACCAAGTTACCAAATCTCAAGGATCTAACTCTTAAGTCATCATGTCACCAAACCTTGTGGGTCTAACCCTCGAATCATTAAACCCTGAGGGACCAAACACTCGTGTGCCTAGCTAAGTATGAGTAGAAAAGATAGGCTAGTTAGCCTTGAACATATCCAAACTTCGGTTCAAGTGAAATGCGAGATAACGGTAGGAACTTCTTGAACGCTTAAAACGTGGCTATTAGGATACTTTGAAGGATCTTAAATTGATGGATGACAAGTCAGAAGGTACCTCGTGCAGGAAAATGGTCCTCATCAATAAGAGGGTTGATGTATGCTGTGACAGAGAACCGTACTATTGATCACATTTAATTCTCTGACAAAGTCATTATCAGTTTGGCTACCGCCAATCATATAAAGACACGCTCAGGGTAGAAAGATGTCTGGCACATCGCATCCTAGACAAGCAAAGAAATGGCTCGATAGGAGAAAGTGACCTCTCATGTGCCTAGAATCATCATGCCTACATGTGTTGATACAACGCAAAGTACTAGGCATTACAAGGAACAGATCCCTACCTCCACCAACATTCTCACTGATCTCATACAGTTCCTATCTCTTTATCCTTCATATTGTGTAGTAGATATCGTCATATTAATGCATATTTTATTGTGTTACGAAAAAAAAAAAAAAAAAAAAAAAATCCTACTAAGATTTTTTAAAAAACAAATTCCTAGTCTTCTCTTCCGGCCATTGAGGAGACAAACAATTGATGATATCTTTATGTATAATTGTATATAAGATTGTTAGGAGACTGAATTTTCATTTTGATAGGGGACCAAAAATTCTAAAAATGGCTTTCTCATTTTGACTTTTAGACAATTGTTAGAAGACTGAATTTATGATAAAGGATAAAAAATTCAAAAAAATAAAAAATAAAAAATGGTTCTGAATATATAGCATCATTATGTTGGAAATAAAGGGAGTTGACACTTGTTTAATTTTCTAGGCTAGTCAGTTGTGGTATGTGCAGGCAATTGAAGTCATATAAATCAGCCACCACTATTCAATTCAAACCTACTTAACAAACTTACATGCATGGGCAGCCTTTCTTCAAACAATCAAAGATTTAACACTCTTCAAAATTGTGCTCCAATGTTGAAATTTTTTGTTCAAAGTCCAATATCCAAGTTTCAAAGTATGCCGACTACTCATGGTGACCAATCTAATGATCAGATGATATCACATCTATTAATCACTCTTTTTTCACATTAGTTAGGCGGTTTATTTGTTTCATAATATTACATTTCATGAATTTTGAAGTATAAGTTTTAGAATTTCAAAAGAGCCCTAAAAATGTAATTTACCTTTTTTTTAAATAAATAAATAATTTTTTGTTAAGTGCACTAACAAATGTTCACAATAAGACCGAATTGAGCCATAAAGAGCAAGTGGTAAAATTAGCTAGCCAAACTGTCAGATTGGTCAGGAATCATTTTCATGTGGAGTTGGCCAAATGCAGGTATCACATGGGAGCTGGCTATCATACAAGCTAAGGATAGCGATTTTTATAGGGTTTTGTTTTATTTTGTTTTGTTTTTTTTTTTTTTTTGAGAGAGACAAACTATTCCAAAATAATAATAAACATGGTTTCGTTTTTTTTTTTTTTTTTTTTTTTTTTTTGAGAGAGAGAGACAAAAAATTCCAAAATAATAATAAACATGGTTTCTTTTTCCTTTTCGTTTTATTTCCTTGACTGTTTGTTTTCAGAAATGGATCTAGAAATTCATATAACGGGCAAATTTATATAGAAGAATTCTTTTTCATAATTTTAGTAGGAGTAATTTCAAAATTTTATGAGTATAAATGTAAAAAAAATGCAAATTTAGAGTATAAAATGCAATAATAAATAATTTTAGTGGGGGTGGATGCCCACTGTATATCCGTGCTTGTTTGTTTCCTTGATTGTTTGGGCGAAACAACTTTAAATATGTAGGCTCCATTTGTTTCGACGTAAAACATTTTATTCGAAAAATATTTTCTTTTTTCAAGTAAAATATTTTTTAATTTTATTTTTCAATGTTAGGCAAAGGCTTAGATCAAAATTAAGGTCGAGTCCATCGGGTAGGACATGTAAAATAATTTGTCGAAAATTGATGGATAAGTTATTTTTATTAGATTTTAATATATATATATATTTTTTTTGTAAATTTTTTACGTCGAAACAAACAAAACCATAATGTATTTTTTTTGCACAACAAAAGACAATATTGAATAAATTAACTCAAGGGATGGTCATATGTAATGTATTTTTACTTGTGAGAAAATATGAAGGGTCTTTTTATTTTATTTATTTATTTGTGAAAAAATATGTAATGACTTTTTTTAAATTTTATTTAGTTACTTGTAAGAATATAGATAATGTCTTTATATTTATTTACTTTAAATTTGTCTAGAGAAATATGAAAATAATATATATTTTTAAAATATTAACTTTATACATCTTAATTACTAAATTTATTACACAAATGTTCAATAAAATAAGTTTTAAAAATATGAGGGGTTAAAAAAATGGCCTTTGGAAGAAAGACAAACAAGTAATTGAAAAAAAAAAAAAGTTTTAAAAATTACAAAAATAATAAAAAGTGACTAGCCCAACTAACGTCATACCAACTGATTGGGCTGGCCACATATTTTAGAGTGTCGCGTTAACCCATAATCTGAAGTGGCACTCTAAAGTTTGAAAAATAATCTATCCATATAAATACATCTAGAAGTTATTTCTCAACCCCGAGTCAATCACCATTAAATACGTAACCAATTTGTGTCGAAAATAATGTAAATATTTTTCAACTCCATAAAATTGGTCAATGTGTTTCCTTCATTTATCTCTTTTATGATGTTTAGAAATCAGTAAAATCATTGTACAGTTTATCACTTTATCATGGTACCAAAAGAGAAACACATGCAAAAATATCGGATCTAAATTTAATTGATCCTGACTTGTTATCATAGGTGAATGACAAGAACTTGTGCTTTTTTTTGTTTTGGAAGGTAAAGTACTGACACATTTCGTATTTAATTTGTACAATCTTTTCAGTGATGGTATAGCTTTCCATGAACTTTACATAACCCATTGGAGATTTAAGATTTTCTCACAAAATTTAATTACTTTTCATAAAATTTCACTGTATAAGATTAAAAAAAATATATCATGAACTAACAAAATTTATCAAATTATTTTTATGCCCATGACCGATCTGCTATATGAGATTGTGAAATGTCAAATTTAATATTTTTATTAAATAAAAAGTTATGATTATTATTTTAAAATTAAAAAAAAATGCACCTTTATAATACTGTTATAGAGTTGTTGTCTTACTGACTAATTTATCGCATCAAGTATTATTTTTGTAATTTTTTTTAAAAAATGATACTAACTCGTGTTGAAAAGTAAAGTAAATTTCATTACCAAATGGATTTTTGTCAAATAATTACACGAAAAGCACTCAATGATTGCTATACCATAATGATTAAATGTATGCCGACAAAAGTTTGCACAAAAGATAATTGTTTCGCCCTCCCCACAAAAAGTATCCCGTGAAAAGCTTAAATTTCAGCCACAGTTATACATATGAAATACAGTTTTACATTGTATATATAACACACACACACACACACATATGAAAAATATAATGTCACGCCCCGTGTCTTCTGGGGGGAGAGAGAGGTTATTGGCACTAATAACAGAAACATATCATAATTGTATAAATAAGTTCTCAAAATCGTGAGCACCGAAAGAGTAACATTTACACAGGATTATTCCCGGTCAAACTTACATATTTGTTTAGGAGTTGAGTTTTGATTGTCCAAGACCATATAGCCACGTATCACTAAAAATTTCGTCCACGCAATGTAAGGCCTTATTGTTTTTAAATTCCAAAAAAAAAAAGGCCTTATTGTTTAATGTCATACCATGCCCCTATTATTCTTTTTTCCAAATATAGCCATGACTAATCAAGTAACCTTCTCATACAAATAATTTAAATTATATCCCACGAGAGATCCGCTCTGCTGGTTTTTTATGTCGCGTAAGACACTCTTCCTGTCATATTATAAATTATGCCTTTTCCATCTCTAACACCACACACACACACACACAGCCTTCTCTCCTCTTCCCTCACCAGAGTTGATCAACCATGGCTGTTTCAGGCGCTGTCATTAGCCCAAATCCATACATTTCACCATGCCTGACAGCTCCAAGACCAAACAATGGCTGCAGAAAACAGGTAAGTAATACACAAAACCACTAGTGATCTTTAACTAAAACCATGCAGTACATACATGTACACGAGTGTGTGTGAGTGCGTGTGTGTGTTTGGAACTTTGGGTTGTTTTGAATGTTGATGTTTGGGTGTTTTTCATGGTGTGGTTCAGTTCATGTTGAGAGCTTCTTCAGCCGGTAGAAGTTCAGATGGTGAGGAAGGGAACATGATTACCTGGAAAGAGAAAGAGGGATGGAAGATTGATTTCTCAGGGGAAAAGCCAGCCACACCATTACTTGATACAGTCAATTACCCTGTCCACATGAAGAATCTCTCTAAACAGGTAAGCTGTTAATATACGACGCCGTCATCGTCGTGGTAAATAGTGTTTCTGTTGAGTCTGTTTTCACTTCCATGACCAGATGAATGGTTTCTTCTTTATTTTGCTTCACCTTTTATGTATAATAATACGTACAAACACACAAAAAAAAAAAAAAAAACACATCATGTATGTTGTTTCAGGATCTTGAACAACTAGCAGCAGAACTTAGAGCAGATATTGTATACACTGTATCAAAGACAGGTGGGCATCTAAGTGCAAGCTTAGGAGTAATAGAGTTGGCTGTGGCTCTGCACCATGTTTTCAACACCCCTGATGACAAAATCATATGGGATGTTGGCCATCAGGTGAGTAACTCTATTTCACAAAAACAATCATAATAATAATAAATAACTAATAAATAAAAATGAAGAGATTAATGCACCGGCGGCCTTATATATGAATACATCAGTAAGATCTGTATGAGAGGATCGTAGCTTAGATTTGTGCCAAGGTTTCAGACATAAATAAGGGGCCTGCTTGGTTCAGTTTTCTGAAAACAGTTTTCTGTTTTCTGAGAAATGAAAATAAAAAATCTATTCAGAAACCTGCTTGCTTGGTTGACGATTTCTGATAACTGTTTTATGAAAACTCAATTAAAAAATGCCTGCTTTTAAAGAACTGTCTTTTATAATTCTTTTAAAACAGTTTTCCGTTTTCTGAGTAACAAACCAAGCAGACCCAAGATTTTTATATGAATACGGTTTGATGTCCACTTGTGCTTGTATATCTCAATATTGTTTACACAAAATATATGTATCACATTCTATTTCAATATAACATGGGTCCTAAGCAGAGCAATAAAATTGTTACAGGCATACCCGCATAAAATTTTGACAGGAAGAAGATCCAAAATGCATACCATTAGGAAAACCTCCGGGCTAGCAGGGTTTCCGAAAAGGGACGAAAGCATCTATGATGCATTTGGTGCAGGACATAGTTCTACAAGCATCTCTGCTGGACTTGGTGTGTCTGAATTTTCATTATAATCATTTTACGCCCTTCATTTCTAGTAAATTTAACTCCTCAAGCTACAAAGTAGATGCTAAAGTTATTTATTTATTTGCATAAAACAACAATTTCATAGGTATGGCAGTTGCAAGAGATCTTTTAGGGAAAAACAACAATATAATATCTGTGATTGGAGATGGAGCCATGACTGCAGGACAAGCATATGAGGCCATGAACAATGCAGGGTACCTTGATACTAACTTGATTGTTGTATTAAATGACAATAAGCAAGTATCTTTGCCCACTGCTACCCTCGATGGCCCTGCAACTCCTGTTGGAGCTCTGAGCAGTGCTTTATCCAAGCTCCAAGCAAGCCCCAAGTTCCGCGAACTTCGTGAAGCTGCAAAAGTAAACCTCTAAGCTTTTCATGTTACTTTCTATTATAATTCCTCATAACTCATATCAAATTCAAAAGAGATCTAATTCGGGCTCTCTTAAAAGAGTATCACAAAGCAAATTGGAGGGCAAACACATAGAGTTGCGGCAAAAGTAGACGAGTATGCGAGGGGTATGATTAGTGCGTCTGGGTCAACTCTCTTTGAGGAGCTCGGGTTATATTACATTGGCCCAGTGGATGGACACAATATTGAAGATTTAGTCACCATTTTCCAAAAGGTAAAAGCAATGCCTGCACCAGGGCCAGTTCTGATCCACATTGTAACAGAGAAAGGGAAGGGTTATCCTCCAGCAGAAGCAGCTCCTGATAAAATGCATGGTGAGACAGTAACTTCATATACGGGTATACTGATTGTGTTAATAAAATTTCATGACAACATACTTAACAAAAAAATCTCCCATTCTTTCAGGGGTCGTCAAGTTTGACCCTAAAACAGGAAAGCAATTTAAGGCCAAATCCTCCACACTTTCTTATACCCAGTACTTTGCCGAAGCCCTTGTAAAAGAAGCTGAGGTAGATAACAAGATTGTAGCCATCCATGCAGCAATGGGTGGTGGAACTGGCCTCAATTATTTCCAGAAGAGGTTTCCAGATCGCTGTTTTGACGTAGGTATTGCCGAGCAACATGCCATCACATTCGCAGCTGGTTTAGCCACAGAGGGTATCAAGCCATTTTGTGCTATCTATTCATCATTCCTGCAAAGAGGCTATGATCAGGTGTGCTATTGGAAATCGATGATAAAAAGGCATAATGTGGTTGTGCAGTTGTTTCTTCTGTTTATTTATTCTTTCGTTTCAGTTTTTTGACACTAATGATTTACAATGGTTATGAAGGTGGTGCATGATGTAGATCTTCAGAAACTACCTGTCCGCTTTGCAATGGATCGGGCTGGTTTGGTTGGGGCAGATGGTCCCACCCATTGTGGAGCATTTGATATCACATATATGGCTTGCTTGCCTAACATGGTGGTCATGGCTCCATCTGATGAAGCAGAGTTGATGCACATGATTGCCACAGCAGCAACCATCGATGACAGACCAAGCTGCTTCAGGTTCCCAAGGGGTAATGGAGTTGGAGCGGTTCTTCCTCCCAACAACAAAGGAATACCAATCGAGGTTAGCATTAGAAGCAACTAGCTCTGAAATTGGCTAAGAAAAGGGCTAATATTTCTGCTTTGATCATTGAACAGATTGGAAAGGGAAGAATAGTGATGGAAGGCAATAGACTTGCTATTTTGGGATATGGTGCAATAGTTCAACAATGTATACAAGCAGCTGGCTTGCTCAAATCCCAAAACATAAATGTGACAGTAGCTGATGCTAGGTTCTGCAAACCGTTAGATGCAGAACTTATCAAGAGATTGGCGAAAGAGCATGAATTCTTAATCACCGTGGAGGAAGGTTCCATTGGAGGTTTCGGATCTCATGTAGCTCACTTCCTAAGCTTAAATGGCATACTAGACGGACCCCTTAAGGTAATTTTTATATTTCATGCACAAAAGGACTGTTTCTTTTCTCCTTACTTTCTATAGTTCCCCCTCCAGATTCTGATTCTGTAGAGCATCCTGCAGTTAAGAGCTATGGTACTTCCTGATAAATACATAGACCATGGATCACCCCAAGATCAGATTGAAGAAGCAGGACTCTCTTCGCAACACATCTGCGCCACGGTGTTATCACTACTGGGGAAGCCTAAAGAAGCTCTCAAGTTCAAGTGAGTTCTACATAAAAGCAGGATCTTGCCCTGCCAGATTTGAAATTCATTCACATCTTTAGACGTATTATTTTGGCTCTCTGGGAAGAGGAAATTGAAAAGGCTTATCTTTGGGGTTCTAAGAGACTAATGTTCAAGATTCCTTCGAGATTCCCAGTATCACATAGCAAAAAAACTTTCAGGGAATTAAAATGAATTAAACAAGTCATATATTGTGTTTTTATATATTTTCTATCTCCTTTCTTTAATGTAAATCATATATGACATAAAATGTCAAATGAGGCAAAAGAGAACAATTGGTAACTTATCCTAATATTTTGCAATATATATATATTTTTTTTTTTCAGTTTAAATAAATAAAAAGCATTGAAGATCCGAGTATAACTTGTGTAATTATTGCCCAGCTTCTTTTGAGCAATAGTAATAAATTAATTAATACTTGAATCATGAGCTCTACAGCTTCAAGGTTCAAAGATAGGGTCGCACCTGTGCCAAATTCTGATAAATTAATCCACATGGATCAATTATTGGGCGGCAGCAGCTCGTGATACAGGTGCTATCAATTAATTAGTCAGAAGAAAACTGAGAAAGTTGGTGAATCAACCACAGACCAGATCAACGGTTGCCCTCACAGATTGAAAAATAGAACTGAAAATGACATCAGCTATAAATTCACCAATAATCTCCACAGGAACACAACCCATCTTTAAAGTGGTGGAATCTCTTTGCATCTCTAGCAATTATTTCTCTCCCAACAGCCTTGGAGATGAACTTAATCCAGTTGTGACAATCCCCACAAACTCTAAGGTTCTTTAGAATTGTGATACTAGTAGTCTTATCTCTGCTCCTCCATACAGCAAAGGCTATGGCCAGCTTCTCGCTATGATAATACAAAGAACTCTCTTTCTGCTTCTCATCCAAAGCCAGTAATACAAATCTAGTATCCGGAACATAACCTAAATGTTTGGCTTTCACAATCAATTCCTCTAATGTTTCACAAATTTCTCTAGAATTTGGGTGGGACAGATCCCCAGCCATGAAAGAATGAACCTCCCTGTCAACATCCACCCAACTCATTGCACGACTTTTCTTCAACTTCATTTCCTTCATAGTGCTTTTCATCTTGATCACCTGGTTCCAATTACCAGTTGATGCATAAAGATTCGACAACAAGACATGAATCCCCTCATCTGTTGGTGCAAGCTCAAGCACTTTATTCATAACTCTCTCTGCCAAATCAACCTCTCCGTGAGTCCTACATGCATTAAGCAATGTCCTCCATAAAACCACATCTGGATTTTTGACCTCGTTTACTAGCATTTCTGCCTCTTGAAGTCTCCCAGCACGTCCTAGCAGATCAACCATACAAGCATAGTGATCTCTTGTGAGTTCAATGCTATTGCTGCTCGAAATGGATGCAAAAATTTGACAACCTTCTTCAACCAACCCTGCATTGTTGCAAGCTGAGAGAACACCTACCAATGTCACATCATTTGGTTCAAGGCATAAATCTTTCATCCTGTTATATAATGCAAGTGCCTTATGTCCAAAACCATTCTGGGCATAGCCATAGATCATTGAATTTACGGGTACCAGATCTAATTCAGATAAACCATCAAAAACTGATTTTGCCATATCAACAACCCCACATTTTCCATATAAGTCGATCAGTGCTCCTCCGGAATATTTATCTCTGTCCAAACCATATTTGATAACTATGGCATGAATTTGTTCCCCCTGCTCAAGCATGGCAAGGCCTGAACACGCCCGAAGAATGCTCGACAATGTGAAAGAATTTGGAACTACTGACCCACGGAGCATTTGGCGGAACTCTGATAAAGCAATCTCTTCTTTACTATTTTGCACAAGACCCACTATCAGAGATGTCCAAGTCACCTGGTTTGGGCTAACAAAACGCTTAAAAATTCTTAGAGAATCATCAATCAAGCCACATCTAGAGTACATAGTTAGTAGTGAAGTTTGCGAAGCAACAGCTGATTCAAATCCAGACTTGACAAGGAGACCATGAATCAACTTACCTTGGAATAAATCCTCCAAATTTCCACAAGCAATCAAAATACGTGCAAATGTATACTCATTAGCCTTAACACCTTCCTTGATCATATTCTCAAAAACCTCCATTGCTTCACCATCTTCACCACATTGGGAATAACCAACAATTAAAGTTGTAAATAGAATCACATCTTTGTCCCCAACTCGATTTGAAACCAACCGGGCATCCCGCATATTCCTAAACTTCGAATACATATCCACAAGCGCGCTACCAACAAACACATTCGACGCCCTCACACCCAAAACAACTGACAGTCCGTGAGCTCTCCGGCCTTCATGAAAAAGACCCAGATCAGAAAATGCCTTAAAAACACTAGAAAACGTGAACTCATCAGGGAAAACTCCCTCCAAAACCATCCTCTCATAAAGACTTATAGCTTCTTGGCTTCTTCTATTCCTAATGTAGAAGGCAATCATTGAATTCCAAGTGACTACGTGTTTCTGCGGCAATTCATCGAACAGTTTGCGCGCGTCAACGATAGTACCGCACTTTAAATACCCATCAAAGAGCTTACTGCCTAAACTGAGGTGAGGAAACCCAGATTTCGTCATGTGGGTCTGAATCATTGTTAGGTCTCTTATGGATTTTCGTTCTGTACACTGTCGAATCAGCGAAGAAAAGTACTTCGAAGCGTCTGTGAGGTGTGGATTATAGCCACAGGACACGTCAATGTGGTTTTGGGCAATAGAAGTAGGACCATATTCAAGAGGGTTAGATTGGGTTTGCGTCAGTACAGAGGTTTCAAAGTTCCTGGCAAATTTTGAAAATTTGGGGAACGCAACGGTTATGTTCTTGGGACCTCTCTGCAATTGCATCTCTTCTAACCGGTGATCTCTGACCGACCTTTGGGTCCAAAAAAAAGTCACCGTAGCAATCGGTCACTCAATGGAGAAATCATTGAAAAATGATAAAAGTTCCAGAATTATTAGATGATATATTGATATTGGTCTTTGGTTGATTAATTCAATAAAAGTTAATATTGATTTTTTTTTTTTTTAATGTATTAATATACTCTTTTGGATAATTTTTGAATTCGAGAGTGTTTAATTTTTCACTACTCGAAATTATTAAATCATCATGGATCATTTATATTCGGTGGAATAGTAAATTTCAAACTCTTGAAATGAAAAAATAGTTCGGAGTGTATTAATATGTTACAAAAAAATCTTAATATTTCTTTTATTAAATTAGTTCATCAAATGCCAAATGCAGCAGAACCATCTAATAATTTCTCCATTTGTTGTCAGGAAAAAAAATTTCTCCACTCAACGATGGGTTTAAAATTACCAAAAATAAAAAAAAAAAAAAAAAAATCGTTACATGATTCAATTCAAAACATAAAATGTTCAATCCCAATCCAATCATAATCCGACCTTCAATTCAAATCCAATCAATTTTTACTGTTTTTTCTTCGGGGTGAGATTTTGAGTTGGAATTTGAGTTACCACATTGACTTTATGAAACTCATAAATTACTTTACCCATTAATCATTTTTGGCTCAAGAGTGAGTGAGTAAGAAAATTTATCGACACCCCTTATATCAAATTTAATAGTTACCTTCCAAACTCACGTATCTCCTTTTCAAATAGTACAAATTCTCCCAATTTTTAGATTTCAACCAAAAGTTGTGTAGCTTAGTGGGTATTTCTTCACTATCCAAAGTAGAAGGTCGAAGGTTTAAGTCCCCATATGGACATGTAGGTATCTGAGTGTAATTCTTGCCATGAATATATATATATGGTTTCCAAAATTAAAATTACCAATACCACCCATTGTGAAATTAAAGGTATTTACAAAAAGGGTTAATTATAATGATACCTCTGAGGTTTGCCATAATGACAATGATATATAATGTCACATCCTGAATTTTTACTAGCTCTTTAATTACTATTACGAGCTTACTAATATTTATTTGAGTTTAAATTCACATATGCATGGTATACGTTACCTAGAATTATTCATATTTATTTCTTTCCTATACCTATTTAATAAGCAAAGTTTACTATGTGAACTTGTAGCAGTTGATTAAAATGAAGAAAAAGGAGGACTAGCGTGACACATGTTGTGTATGTGTTGTGACACTTATAGTTAAGATGTGTGCTGATATCAAGTGGGGAGTATGGAGTTTGGTGGATAGTTTATATAAATAATAATATTGTATTTCATGCAAGTTGCAAAACAATTAATGATATACATTAATATAGCTGCCAGCACCAAGTCTATATATAAATATATATATCACTGGATTTTAGATAGATATGTATTTTATATAGAAGCTTCCGGGTAAGCTTTTGGATAACTGATTGAAGGAATTAAATAGGAGGGTATGAGTAAGCTTGGACACATGTCATACACCTATTAAAAGCTTCATATATACCTTATGTTACCTCTACGTTTTTTTGGAGTTCTCTGGACCAGCATGTTTTAAAACCAAAATTTGTAGAAAAAGAAAAGAAAAATAAGGAAAGAAAACTATGGGACGGGAGCCGGACTAGAGAAGAGAACAGGGAAAGTGAAAGAGAGTGAAAAAAAAAAAAAAAAAAAAGAAAAAGAAAAAGAAAAAAAAGAGAGAGAGAACCAGAAAGTGGGTGTTCTGCCGAGAAGGAAGGAAAGTAGAAATAATGGAAGGAAGAGGAGACAAATAAGGAGTGGTGGTGATGGGCTATGAAGTGGTGGGTGTGAAGGTTAAAAATGTAATTTTATTATCTAAATAGGTTAAATAATAAGCCAAAGAGTAATAAAGTCATTTCACTATGTGTCAGATGTGGCAGTTGACTATTGGGGTGTTTTTGTTAACTTTATCAAATGTGAGGGGGTATCATTGTTCAAAATATGTTCAATTTGTAAATGGCTGTCATTAGACAAACTTCAGGGAGTATCATTGTAATTAACCCATACAAAAAAATAAAAAATCCGAGTATTTTCAAACCTTTGTTATGCAACCTCAAACTTGAGCTCTTTTAGAAGAAAATTGATGTCAACGTTATTTGAGAAGGAGCGGAGCATGCCCTAAAAGGTCCTTACAGGTGGATTTGACTAAAGCCACAAAAATCAATAAATGAGACAATAATTGATGGCTTCTTTTCAAATTATAGTATCAAAATGTTCAAACATATTAATTAATTTTTAGGGTAAAATGCAAAAAATTCTCCTGAACTATTGGCATATTGTAACAAACCTCCTGAACTACAAAAAAAACTGTCAGTTTGCTGCATTTAAGGACAATCCGGCATGTGAGTTGGCCTAAAAAACAAAAAGACTCATTTTCCCTTACTAGTACTACGTAGTTTTGGACTCTTTGAGTTAGGTGGATGTTGGGTGGATGACTTGGAAATGTATAATCTCACTAACCAATAAAATTTTGACAAAACATATGTAACATTTATCGCTTTGTCTTTATATCCTATGTAACCATTATCACTTTGTCTTTATGTCCTTTGCATCAAACAAACCAAAACATCACCTGATTGATTATACACATTCAATCTTCCACATGATAATATCTGGGTTTAAGCCTTTAGTTTACGTGTATCAATTCCTTCTCTATTCTTGCAACTTAGAGAACGAATACGAGAATTAAAATTATATTAAATATATTCACTGATGGTGTTACATTCAATTTATAGAGCAAAACCTAGCTAAAATAGTAACTAATTATACAATCATCGGGAAACTAATTACCTACCAATTAGTCCTAAATTAGGGAGTAAATAATTCAATCCTATAACTGTACAATTTGTATAATCCCGGATTACAAGAGATAAAATCTCAACACTCCCCCTCAAGTTGGTTCATAGATGTCACACATGCCCAACTTGTCTAAAATTTTTGAAAATACTTGATTTGAGACTACTTTGGTAAGAATGTCAGCTAGTTAATCCTCAGATCGAATCTTCAGCAACTCCACAATTTTTTTATCCAACTTCTCCTTAATGAATAATCTGTCTATTTTGACATGCTTCGTACGATCATGTTGAACTGAATTATGGGCAATATCACATGCTACTTTATTGTCACAGTATAGTCGAATAGGTTGCCCAGGTAGATAACCCAAATCCAGCAAGAAAAGTCTTAACCACAATGCTTCACAAAGTCCAAGCTCCATACCTCTAAATTCAGCTTCTGCACTCGAGCGAGTAACAACATTTTGTTTCTTGCTTCTCCATATAACAAGATTACCTCCTACAAAAGTAAAGTAACCAAAAGTAGATCGCCTATCATTTATAGCTCCAGCCCAGTCAGTATCATTATATACATCTATGTTTTGATAACCAGTATTTTTAGTGAACAAAATTCTTTTTCCAAAAGCAGATTTCAGATACCTCAAAATGCGCATAACTGCATTCATATGTTGCTCTCTAGGATCATGCATAAACTGGCTAACAACGCTCAATGCATAAGCCAAATCCAATCTCATGTGTGCTAAGTACATCAATCTCCCTACAAGTCTTTGGTATCTTCTTTTATTAGCAGGTACTTGGTTGGACTCAACACATAACTTCAGTCCTTCTTCCACTAGTGTCTCAGCTGGTTGACAAGCTGTCATACCAGTCTCTTGTAATAGATCTAAGGTATACTTTCTTTAAGACAGAAAGATTCCTTTATTAGATCAAGATACTTCGATTCCAATAAAATATCTCAAAGGACCTAGATCTTTCATTTCGAATTCTCTGGACAAGTACTTCTTGAGAGCCTCCATTTTTTCAGGATTATTCCTTGTAACCACCATGTCATCTACATATACAATGAGTGCAGTGATCTTACCCTGTTGTTTCTTCAGGAATAACGTATGGTCTGAATTGCTCGACGGTAGCCAAAAGTTATCATAGACTTTGTGAATCTTCCAAACCATGCTCTCGGAGATTGTTTCAACCCATATAATGATTTCTTTAACTTGCACACCTTCCGACTATACTTTTCGGGTATCACGCATCATGGTGGGAGATCCATGTAGACTTCTTTAGATAATTCACCATACAGAAAGGCATTCTTTACATCGAATTGTTGCAATGACCAATCTAAGTTCACAGCTAGAGACAACAAGACTAGAAATGTGTTGATTTTGGCTACAGGTGCGAACGTCTTTGTGTAATCGATTCCATAGGTTTGGGTGTAACCTTTTGCCACCAATCTTACTTTAAAGCGTTCAACTGTGCCATCGGCTTTATAATTCACCGTGTAAATCCATCGACATCCAACTGGTTTCTTTCCTGGTGGAGAATCAATGAGTTCCCAAGTTTCATTTTTCTATAAGGATTTCATCTCCCCGTTCATAGCTGCTTTCCACCTAAGGTCAGATAAGGCTTCCTGCACACTGTTAGGAATAGATACAGTAGATAATTGATTTACAAATGACAAATTTGATTCTGACAAACGATAGTTCAACACATAATGACTCATGGGATACTTAACTTTACTAGAAAGTTTGGGTTCATATATGGGTTTAAGAATACCTCTAGTGTGACGTTGTGGTAATTGTTTTCTGAGTGGCTTGGCACTAAATCAGGAACATCCTCAGCAAGCGATTGGTTTGATATATTAATTGCAAAGGACTCAAACTCGGACGACGGTGGGGTTGGCGCCATACTTTTCATTTCTGAGCGTCCATCTCCACTTTGATCCAAACTTATACCACTCGAATCCAATTCGCCTGATTCTTGATTGGCTGGCCCAACTTGTGAGTCATCGCCACAAGAATCGCCGTCCTAAAAAATGTGATAATCATAATCTAGAGTCTGAATTTCTTTCTAGTGCTCCCCCTGATGTTCAAACGCAGAGGAAAAATTCATCAAGTCTTCATAAAAGATAACATTTATTGTGATAAACATTCGTTGAGTTGGAGGGTGATAACAGCGATACCCTTTTTGATGAGTAGCATATCCGAGAAAAACACATCACAATGCTCGAAGAGTTAACTTATTGCGTTGATGCTTATAGAGGTGTACAAATGCTACACAACCAAAGACATGTGGAGGTAGATGTGGGACGGTTGGGGTAACAACTGCATCAGTGAGAGCCTGCAATGGGGTCCGGAAGGCAATAAAGCTATAAGGTACTCGATTGATTAGATATGCTGCAGAGGTAAGTGTTTATCCCTAATACGATAATGGCATATGAGCTTCTATCAATGAAGCACAAACAACCTCCAACAAGTGTCAGTTTTTTTGCTCTGTAACCCCATTCTGTTGGGGTGTATTGGAACAAGTGGTTTGATGTATAGTTTCATGTGCTTCCAAATACTGCTAAAGGTCAAAACTCTGATATTCTCCACCATTGTCACTACAGAGAACCTAAGCATATGCATTGTATTGAGTTTCAACCATTTTATGAAACTTTTAAAACAATAAGTTCACTTCACCTTTGGACTTCATTAAGCATAACCAGGTCATCCTGGTACAGTCATCAATAAAAGTAACAAAACAACGTGATCCACCTAAAGTAGTGACTTTGGACGGACCCCAAACATCAGAGTGTATAATCATAAAAGAACGTGGACTTTTATTCAAACATAATGGAAACGAAGCACAGTGGCTCTTTGCTAGTTCACAAAC